TTCTTCCTTCACTTTTTTTTAATATTTCTTTATTTTTACATAGGATAAAGTGTAGAGTCCACATATTTTAGTAAGTTACTTATACACTGAATTGTTTTTTGTTACAAAAAACAGCAGTATTTTTTTTCTGTAAAGTGAAACCATGTGAATTTCTGTATGTTCAAACATGCAGTTTCAGAAAATTATTCCGACTTTTTCTTAGAAAACATTTGAGCCGCGTCAGGACAAAAACAACATAGTGTGTTTGCGACCAGCATGGATCCAGACCAGCCTGAGCATCTGTGCAGTCTGATCAGGATCCATGTTGTTCGCTATCAGTTTCTCCACTTGTAATAGAGTTGGTAAGCGAACAGCATGGATCCTGATCAGACTGCGCGGATGCACAGGCTGGCCTGGATCCATGCTGGTCGCAAACGCACTATGTTGGTTTTGTCATGACGTGGCTCATTTTATGTTTTTATTACTTACTAGAATGAGCAGGCTCTACACCAAATCTCATAAAAACAATGAAATATTAAAAACTTTATGGAAGAAAATACTTTTTGAACCATCTTTTGTATTGGTTTTCTGCCCCACACAGATGACAAAAAATATCATGATTAGGTACCATGACATGTTGCTCAATATAGTACACCCTGTATCTTATGTCCGTTGGTTTGTAAATAGTATAGCATAGAATCAATATGAAATAAAATAAAGAAGGTATCTTACAAATGAGAGTAAGTTGCTATAAAAGTGCCAGACATATTTCTGAAATATATTTTTCCTGTCAAATTTGTAGTCCAAGAAATCTAGTGTACTCAATAATTTATGACAACATGATAGTCACACAAAATATATCTATTTTTGGTGGTTTGAATTTTTACATCGATCAATATACAGTGAAGTCTTTGGTTTTAACTAAAAATGTACCTTACTTGTTTAATGTTAGTTCAGAAGGATACCTTGCTATATTTAACAAGGAATGCTTGACATATACTATAGCTATCATATTTTACTTTCAGACATAATACTGTTGCTTATAAAAAGATTAAATAATATAATCACTACATGTATGTAGCTCATTAGGTATATAACAAGAAACATGGCAATGCCACGAAACCAGGTTTTCAATTATCTCCATTGTAGATAAATATGTTGTATTTGAAATACAAATACAAGCAATAAACAATGTAACTATGTGCAATGTAAAACATGAATAATGTAGGAGGAATTGCCACAGAAGAAGTGTTCACTATATATTCTGTATAAGGAAAAATATATTCTGTATAAGGAAAAAAAAACAAAGAGCCGTAATTAGGTCAAAAATTATCCAATCACAAACCTCTACAATATGCGCCAGGGCACTTGATGATATGGCTTCTGTGAAAGTTTGAACAAAATCTGTTGAGAAATGTAGGACTAGTTCAGCACAGAAGAATTTGATCATTATATATTGAGGAAAAAAAAACAAAGGGGCATAATTAGGTCAAATATTATCAAATCACAAAACCCCGACAATATGCGCCAGGGCACTTGATAACAAAGCTTCTGTGAAAGTTTGGTCAAAATCTGTTGAGAAATGTAGGAGAAGTTGCGCACTGTAGAAATTGTTCACTATATATTCTATATAAGGAAAAAAAACAAAGGGTCATAATTACGTCAAATATTATCCAATCACAAAACCCCGACAATATGTGCCAGGGCACTTGATAACAAAGCTTCTGAGAAAGTTTGGTCAAAATCCGTTGAAAAATGTAAGAGGAGTCGCGCACAGAAGAAAATGTTCACTATATATTCTATATAAGGAAAAAAAACAAAGGGCCATAATTAGGTCAAATATTATCCAATCGCAAAACCCGGACAATATGTGCCAGAGCACTTGATGACAAAGCTTCTGTGAAAGTTTGGTCAAAATCCGTTGAGAAATGTAGGAGGAGTTGGGCACAGAAGAAATTGTTCACTATATATTCTATATAAAAACTAGAACTATCACTAAATGTGATTAATACCCCCACAAGTCTGCTTCGGAAATGAGGATGTTACTAGTAACAGAATACCTTGTAAAAGAATTGAAACATAGAGTTATGGTTGTGGGCAATTAAAGATAATTGTGGTTCATGTATGTTGCATTTCCTTTCAATGTGGTTGGCCATTGATGAAGTTTAATTGAATTACTCTGTAATAAGTCCAGAAAGACAAAGAAAAAGAACAAAGGGCAATAACTCTATAAATACTTAAGATAGAGTCATAGTTCTTGTGCACTGCACTTCCTCTTATTGTGCTTGACCATTGTATGAAGTTGTTTTTGAATTCCAACCTGTACGTTTTAAGTTATGCTCCGGACAAGGAAAAGTATCAAAGGGCAGTAACTCTGTATTTTGTCAAAATGGATTTATGGCTCTTGTGCACTGCACTTCCTTTGAATGTCCTTGACAACTGTATGAAGTTGTACTGAATTCCAAACAGTAGTTTTCAAATTATGCTCTGGACAAGGAAAAGTAACAAAGGGCAATAACTCTATAACTAGTCAAGATGGAGTTATGGTTCTTGTGCACTGCACTTCCCCTTATTTTGCTTGACCATTGTATGAAGTTGTTTTGAATTCCAACTAGTAGTTTTTAAGTCATGCTCTGGACAAGGAAAAGTAACAAAGGGCAGTAACTCTGTAATTAGTCAAGATGGAGTTATGGTTCTTATGCACTGCACTTCCTCTCAATGTGCTTGACCATTGTATGAAGTTATAATGAATTCCAACAATAAGTCTTCAAGTTATGGTCCAGACAAAAGAAAGCAAAGGAAAAGTAACAAAGGGCAATAACTCTGTACTTAGTCAAGATGGAGTTATGGTTCTTGTGCACTGCACTTCCCCTTATTGTGCTTGACCATTGTATGAAGTTGTTTTGAATTCCAACCAGTAGTTTTAAAGTCATGCTCTGGACAAGGAAAAGAAACAAAGGGCAGTAACTCTGTAATAAGTCAAAATGGAGTTATGGTTCTTGTGCACTGCACTTCCTCTCAATATGCTGGACCATTGTATGAAGTTATAATGAATTCCAACAATTTGTCTTCAAGTTATGGTCCGGACAAAAGAAAGCAATGGAAAAGTAATAAAGGGCAATAACTCTGTAATTACTTTAGATAGAGTTATGGTTCTTATGCACTGCACTTCCTCTCAATGTGCTTAACCATTGTATGTAGTTATATTGAATTCCAACCATTAGTCTTCAAGTTATGCTTCGGACAAAAAAAAGAAGGCATTTGAAAAGCAACAAAGGGCAATAACTCTGTAATCACTTTAGATAGAGTTATGGTTCTTGTGCCCTGCACTTTCCCTTATTGTGTTTGACAATTGTATGAAGTTGTTTTGAATTCCAAGCAGTAGTTTTCAAGTTATGCCACGGACAAGGAAAAGTAACAAAGGGCAATAACTCTGTAATTTGTCAAGATAGAGTTATATTTCTTACGCACTGCACTTCCTCTCAATGTGCTTGACCATTGTATGTAGTTATATTGAATTCCAACCATTAGTTTTCAAGTTATGCTCCGGACAAGGAAAATGCAACAGTCAAAAAAAAAAGCAATGGAAAAGCAACAAAGGGCAATAACTCTGTAATTACTTTAGATAGAGTTATGGTTCTTGTGCACTGCACTTCCCCTTATTGTGTTTGACAATTGTATGAAGTTGTTTTGAATTCCAACCAGTAGTTTTCAAGTTATGCCCCGGACAAGGAAAAGTAACAAAGGGCAATAACTCTGTAATTAGTCAAGATAGAGTTATGATTCTTGTGCACTGCACTTCCTCTCAATGTACTTGACCATTGTATGTAGTTATATTGAATTCCAACCATTAGTTTTCAAGTTATGCTCCGGACAAGGAAAATGCAACGGACGTCTGGACCGACCGACCGACCGACCGCCCGACCGACCAACCGACCGACCGACCACAGGGTGACTCCTATATACCCCCCAAACTTCGTTTTTGGGGGTATAAAAAACAAAGGGCCATAATTAGGTCAAATATTATCCAATCACAAAACCCCGTCAATATGTGCCAGGGCACTTGATGACAAAGCTTCTGTAAAAGTTTGGTCAAAATCTGTTGATAAATGTAGGAGGAGTTGCGCACAGAAGAAATTGTTCACTATATATTCTATATAAGAAAAAACAACAAAGGGTCATAATTAGGTCAAATATTATCCAATGGCAAAACCCCGACAATATGCGCCAGGGCACTTGATGACAAAGCTTCTGTGAAAGTTTGGTCAAAATCCGTTGAGAAATGTAGGAGGATTTTGGCACAGAAGAAATTGTTCACTATATATTCTATATAAAAAAAAAAAACAAAGGGCCATAATTAGGTCAAATATTATCCAATCGCAAAACCCCGTCAATATGTGCCAGGGCACTTGATGACAAAGCTTCTGTAAAAGTTTGGTCAAAATCTGTTGATAAATGTAGGAGGAGTTGCGCACAGAAGAAATTGTTCACTATATATTCTATATAAGAAAAAACAACAAAGGGTCATAATTAGGTCAAATATTATCCAATGGCAAAACCCCGACAATATGCGCCAGGGCACTTGATGACAAAGCTTCTGTGAAAGTTTGGTCAAAATCCGTTGAGAAATGTAGGAGGAGTTGCGCACAGAAGAAATTGTTTACGCCCGCCGCCCGCCACCCGCCCGTCCGCCCATCCGCCCGCCGACATACCTCAATCTAATTACCAGTTTTTTCCTTCGGAAAACCTGGTTAATAAAGAATGTTTCAGCCAATAAAACTTGTGCTGCTACAATTTATATAATGTATAAAGTTTCCCTCAGTAAGATATGTAATTTATTACCAGTATTCATCATTACAATGTAATGTTTATTCATTACAGTGCATACATGTATAATAAAATTTAAACATTTTTTTAATGAGGAATAAATTTTTACTATTCTGCGACAGTATTTATATATCAGTGGGATTATGTAAAAATATTAAAATTTTTATCAGTGATGTTTAAAGTGGAAAAATAAAAGGATTAATATAAAAAAATTGTCCATTACATTTTTCATTGAACAGTTCCATTGAACTAAAAAGTGTTCCTCTCATACTATTTATTGTTGTTATATACAATAAGAAAATTGTACATGATAGCAGGTGTAAATTTAAACAACTTGTTAAAAAATAACATCAACAAACCATCTAAGGGCAGTGAACTGGGGCCATAACTCTACTACAATATAAATACTTCCTGGCAATGAAGAAAAACAAAAAAACAATATTTCACTACCTTAAATATATTAGCACTCTACTATATGTAGAATTCTTTAAATTTTGAAAACAATATTACTTAATTTAATACCATTTTTTTTACTCTAAAACAAAAAAAATGTCATTATAGCACATAAGATCCCTAGCACTTTTTTCTTTTGTAATCATTAAAAGGCAAGACAGAGGGCATTGTGTAGTACCTAACATACACTGAACAGAAGAAGCACCAAATTTATGCAAAGATCTAATCTGAGATGAGATCAGCATTCTTGTACCAAGTTTACAATTTGGTGTTGAGAATTCTTCAAGATAAAGCTGCTATCAAAGATTCTGATAAATAAACTAGTATTTACATTTTTAGATCTTTTTTTTAATATAAAAAATAATAATGAAGCACTATGTTTCATCGACGGTGCCCGAGAATTCTCCGGTACAAGCCTCCCTGTATGCATTAATGATCTCATAGACTTGTTTGTAGTAGTTCGGTATCTTGCAGAATGGTTTCGGGTCAAGGTCAACTATACTAACAGAGAAATGGAACAGCCGACCATGAACATCCTTCAAGAGTTGTCCACCTTCATCTTCATTGTAACTATAGAAACAGAACAATGTACTTCAGAACAAAAAGAAAAGGAGTTAATTACTATTGCAAATGGTAACCTCAACAAAAATCATAACTTTATTTCCAGATCAGCATGTTAAACCACACATAATTGTTTGGGCTAGGAGTGATTTTGTCTATGAATTTAATTAATTGATTCAAATTGTCATTAAAAAAAATAATTTCATGTTTACAAAGTCAACCGAGAAGATCAACTATAGCCATTCTTTTTTGAGAAGGTTATTGGTGACATATCACCTTAGACTGAAACCAAAGTCCTATTAATTTCCCTGTAAAACAGAGCTAAAAGTCATCTTACATAATAAAGTATAACAATCTCTGCTTATGTCATATAGTCTATAAGTAACAGATAATAAATTACTTGTCTGGGACTCTTTGTAATGCCACCATAATGGAACAATCCTGGACTGTTTTTGACACTAGAAACCTCTTCACCTGCAAACAAATAGACTGATCCTATATATGAGCAGCATCACGACAAAACCAACATAATGGGTTTGCGACCAGCATGGATCTAGACCAGCCTGCGCAAAAAGATGGCTTCAATTCTTTATTCAGTTGACCTACAGACAATTTACACGGGGACTTTCAGCTTTAATGTTGGTAGAAAGATTTCAAATTCTCATGTTTGCATAACTTCAGGGCAGGTACCACATTTTAACCATGAACATATTGTAAATTTCCTGAACAATTTCATCATTTCTTAGAATCTTATGCCCTAGGAATAACTAACTCTCTGCATCACTGTGGTATCGAGAAAGTAATTGGAAGTCAGGAACATAAACAATTCAGACACTTGAGGACATTTTTTTTTTGGTACATAAGGCCTACTGTATTCTCAAATGTCTACACTATTTTTTCTGCATCAAAGAAAGTTGAATCACTTTATATAAATACATGTTTATATATGTATATATTTGATCAATAATTTACGTTCACAGATCAAACCCTGTCCAACATTTTATATTCCTAATTCTCTTTTAAATCTAAGCATATTTTCATAACTTGTACACATTACATACCTTATTAACCATTGATCTAATACATTGAGAATCTTTGATAATCAGATCATCTTCTTCATCATCACAGTTAAGCTGGGAACAAGCCTGTAACCAATCATCATCTTGGTATGGACCGTCCAAACAATATCTCTGTCTACAAGTTAAAAAGATAAATCTTTCATCATCATACTGTTATAATATCATACTTAATATCATCTGAACATAATTACTGGTATGAACATTTACATACATGTATTAAATTTGTCATATATCATGACTGTTTCATGAAAATTGAAATATGCACAGTAATTTTGACTTACAATACCAATTACTTAGCTAGTGAGTGGGAAAGCATTTAGAATTTTAGACAACACCAATCACAAGTCTGATCCCTAGCTATATCAGTCAAAATCAATAAATATCAACTATGATTGTGAACCAATTCGGAACCATTACACAATGCACTATCCAGCAGAAATGATTATTATTCTTCCAAAACATTAACCCAGATAGGTGATTATTAACAATAAAATAAAAACATTCAATGAAATGAACTTATAAATCTTGTGGATAACTTCTATCAGCTTTTTATCATAAATAAAATAATTATCTTACACTATATTGCAAACTATTAAATCTTTGATTACTATTCATTTTTAGCTCGACTATACGAAGTATATGGAGAGCTGTCCTACTCGCCCCGAGTCGGCGTCCGCGTCAAGATTAAAGTTTTGGTGCAGTATAATATTTTTCACTATAACTTTGTCATTTCTTAAGGTATCAACTTTAAACTTCAAATATGTGTTCCTTATCATCAACCACATCTTATGTGACAAGGTTCATAACTCTAGCACCAATATTTTCAGATTTATCTCCCCTTGAACTTAGAATTTTCCTTAAAAAATACGATTTTTTTACTGTAACTTCTTTACTTCTTAAGGGATCAACCTCATACTTCAAATATATGTACCTTATCATCATCCCCATCTTATGTGACAAGGTTCATAACTCTAGCATCAATATTTTCAGATTTATCTCCCCTTGAACTTAGAATTTTCCTTAAAAAATACTATTTTTTACTGTAACTTCTTTATTTCTTAAGGGATCAACCTCGTACTTCAAATATATATACCTTATCATCATCCCCATCTTATGTGACAAGTTTCATAACTTTAGCACCAATATTTTTAGATTTATCTCCCCTTGAACTTAGAATTTTCCTTAAAAAATACGATTTTTTACTGTAACTTCTTTATTTCATAAGGGATCAACCTCGTACTTCAAATATATATACCTTATCATCATTCCCATCTTATTTGACAAGGTTCATAACTCTAGCACCAATATTTTCAGATTTATCTCCCCTTGAACTTAGAATTTTCCTTAAAAAATACTATTTTTTACTGTTACTTCTTTTTTTCTTAAAGGATCAACCTCATACTTCAAATATATGTACCTTATCATCATCCACATGTTATGTGACAAGGTTCATAACTCTTGCACCAATATTGCAAGAATTATCCCCCCATAAACTTAGATTTTTATACTAGAAAAATGTTATTTTTTACTATAACTTTTTTAGTTTTAAAGGTATCTAACTCAAACTTTAAATACTTATTCCTTATCATCAATTACATTTTATGTGACAATGTTCATAACTCTTGAAGCAATATTAACAGATTTATCTCTCTTTGAACTTAAGATTTTCTTTAAGAAATATCATATCTTCTTTACTTTATAAGGTATCTACTTCTCTTCTTTACTTTTTAAGGTATCTACTTCAAAACTTCAAATACAGTTGACTCTCAATAAGTCAAAAATGCTTTACTCAAAATTCCGCGTTAGTCGAAGAATTTCTAATGTCCTGTCAAATTTCCTTCTTTATCTTTTTATTTTAACTCTGCTTAGGTCAAATTTTGACTTACCGAGACTCCTGTTTAGTCGAAAAGAAAATTTGGTCCCGTCAATTAAAGTCCAACATATTTTCATCTCAATTAGTCGAAGTGTGTAAACAGCCGACTGATCAAAGGTCGGCAACATCAAGGAGAGATGTTGTCACTCGTGATTCACACATTTCATAGTAATTTTTTTCGGTCATCATGTATTATCGGTTTCAGGACTGAATTGTTTGTTATCAACGTAAATGACATTTGTATAATTAATGTTCCTTCATATTGCATGCATTAATATGTACTTCCGGTTCACGATAGTTGCTACTTTCGTTTTCGTCCGATAATCAATTCACTTCAAATACTAGATAAATAGTTGTTGAAATAAATGTGTTATTGTGCTTTTATTGTCATTTATGTCATTGCTACGAATGTTTGTGTTTATGTTTCGCTAATAATATACATGTATTAAATTTTGAATAATATATTTTTTGTTCATTGATAATTTGTAGTTGTAAGTGATTTAGAATCATTTCAACGGTTTAATATTACAGCATTGCCGCTATCAACAATAACAAGCCTATGTCTTTGCACATTAAATCAAGCACATGTATATACATGTACGAATATCAACGTAATGGCGGCAGATCTACGTTACTCGAACACCGTTTCTTTCGAAGTAAAATGCCCAGTCCCTTGGATTTCAAGTTACGGAGAGTCAACTGTATATATTTCTTATCATTATACACATGTTGTGTGACAAGATTCATAACACTAGCGTGACTATTTCTAGAATTATTCCCCTTGATCTTGGAATTTATGTTTACAAATGTTATTTAATTACTATAACTTAAAACATAATTATACATAATTGATTTTTCTTTCATAGTTTTGTCCTCCTTACTGCGTCCAGTATTTTATTAGTCGAGCTTCCCTGTCTCCTGTGACAGCTCTTGTTAGTTATATTACCATTTCTGATTGTTATAAAACCATTCCTCTTGTTGTTATACGGACATTCATGTTAAGTTATATAACTATTCACTTGTGGTTATGACCATTCACTTGTGGTTATATGACCATTGCCTTGTTATATGACCTTTCCCTTGTGGTTATATTATTGTGGTTATATTACCACTCCATTGTGGTTATTTACCATTCCCTTAAAATAGTCATTCACTTGTTACAATACAATGCTCATTATAGTTATAAATATATATAAAATGATACCTTAGAGCAGGTGAGTCATTGATGTATTTCTTTAACTTGAGGTAGAGGGGATATATGCCATCAATATCGAGGCTGTCAAGTTTTTGAGTAGAAAATATACGTTCTAGAACACAACCAGTGGGTAAATCACCACAATTATCTGTAATGCAGAAATATATATCAAGAACACAACCAGTGGGTAAATCACCACAATTATCTGTAATACAGAAATATATATCTAGAACGCAACCAGCGGGTAAATCACCACAATTATCTGTAATACAGAAATATATATCTGGAACACAACCAGTGGGTAAATCACCACAATTATCTGTAATAAAGAAATATATATCAAGAACACAACCAGGGGGTATATCACCACAATTATCTGTAATACAGAAATATATATCTAGAACACAACCAGTGGGTAAATCACCACAATTATCTGTAATAAAGAAATATATATCTAGAACACAACCAGGGGGTAAATCACCACAATTATCTGTAATACAGAAATATATATCTAGAACACAACCAGTGGGTAAATCACCACAATTATCTGTAATACAGAAATATATATCTAGAACACAACCAGTGGGTAAATCACCACAATTATCTGTAATACAGAAATATATATCTAGAACACAACCAGCGGGTAAATCACCACAATTATCTGTAATACAGAAATATATATCTAGAACACAACCAGTGGGTAAATCACCACAATTATCTGTTATACAGAAATATATATCTGGAACACAGCCAGTGGGTAAATCACCACAATTATCTGTTATACAGAAATATATATCTAGAACACAACCAGTGGGTAAATCACCACAATTATCTGTAATACAGAAATATATATCATGCTAGTATAATAACATTTTCATATTAACAAGCAATACATCAATAGCCTGTTCTTAAATATTTGTCAGTCTGCTAATTGTTAAGTAGCTACAGGTATGTTGTAGATATAACAATTTTGATTTAAATTGATGTCAAATAATTTATGAGTAGAAATATGTTATTCAAGAAAAAGTAATATAGAAATATATAAATAAGAAAGAACAAAAAACAAAGCTTCCATTATCAGCAAAAGGCTATCTACACCATAATCAGTAAGAACAAAATCTACCATTATCACTATAAAGTATAAAGTAATGACACTTACAATCACTAGAAAGTATATCTACAACCATTATAAACTAAACCTAGCACTATCACAAAAAACAAGCCGTAGAATGCACTTGACTCGATCTCAAATGCACATGTGATGTTTCAATAAATACCTCTAGTGGTTTATAAGCTATGACTTAATATCATGGTTGAGTAGGATAACCCTACTGTTTATCAAATAGTCGATTAAAACACATACCACAATCAGTCTGAAGATCAGGCCTGTAACGGCTATTTTGACAATATTGCACTGTGTGTGGATATAAGCTGGGCATTTCAAACAGAGAATCATTTACATCTTGCGGAACAAACAACAATGCCTCTAAGACAAGGTCAAGGAAAGTCTGTAATAACCTGAAATATAAACAAGTAAGTTCTATCTTACATATCTACACCATAAGTAATGATTACTCTTATTGTGTTATTGTGACACTTATTGTTTACCTCAACAGCTATACAACCACTCTTGCACACTTATTGTTTACATCAATAGCTAAATCATCACTCTAACACTTATTGTTTACCTCCATAGCTATATAACCACTCTTGCACACTTATTGTTTACCTTAATAGCTATATCATCACTCTAACATTTATTGTTTACCTCCATAGCTATATAACTACTCTTGCACACTTATTGTTTACCTTAATAGCTATATCATCACTTTAACACTTATTGTTTACCTCAACAGCTATACAACCACTCTTGCACACTTATTGTTTACATCAATAGCTATATCATCACTCTAACACTTATTGTTTACCTCAACAGCTATACAACCACTCTTGCACACTTATTGTTTACCTTAATAGCTATATCATCACTCTAACATTTATTGTTTACCTCCATAGCTATACAACCACTCTTGCACATTGTTTACCTAAGTTAATAGCTATTTCATCACTTTAACACACATATTGTTTACCTCAATAGCATACTGTTCACTAACAATTTGATAAATAACATCTCTAGCCTTATTTAAAGAAATTATAGGTGACTGTATTTGTCAAATAGAGAACCAAATCTTAATGGTTTAAACATATCTATTTAATTTTGATTGCGAAACAAGTTCTTGCAACTTATATTAATCACTTTTGAGTCGGCTTCCTGGAACCAACCAGTACTGGTTTCATGAAGAAACATGGTTGTGACCCAATTAGGGCTCGAGCCCATGATCCCTGGGTTGAGAGGCAGACACCTTAACCACTAGGCCACCACTCCTCCTCAAATCTTAAATATGATTGGTTATCTATATGAACAATTTATTTTTAAGTTCCTTAAATTGAAAATTCTGTTAAAATATGGTACTTTCTAAAAACATATAACATTGATTTTTTCCTTATAACAGCAGCTGACTTATATCAGTTGATAAATTTAACTGACTGAAAGACAGAAAGCTGTCAATTAGATAACCTCTGCTATGTACCACATACATGTTAAATTGAATAGAAATGGAAAATTTTATAGAATGTGTGGGTGAATTCCAATCTAAGTTGTTGGATTTTGATTTCAGGTCTTCACTTTTTTCTGATTTATCACGCTATATTTTCCAGCTTCAGAAAGTCACAGGTTGTTTTAAAATTGAAAAACACAACAACAACAAAAACACTGATAATTTTGCATGCTTTATTAATTGTGCTATGAAGATGAAACTTAATCTGTTATAAAATAAGTACAGCTTAAAGCTACACCTTTAAATCAACTTTTATTGTATGAATTGTTATATATTGTAAATAAAGTTCTTCAATAAATATAGCACTTAACTAGATCGCTCTCTAATATAACTTGTAACTTTGTGATATATGTGGAATATATATGCTGTGTATCTCTACATTTAATTGTACATGTAAGATCTGCTTACTTTGTGTTTTGATTATGTATTGTCATCATTATTGCTGTGGACGGGGAACTATGCCCAAAAAAGAAATAAATATTCTGTTCTGTTCTGCGGATTATAAAAAAAACTTTAAATGGTATGCCTAAGTACCTTTATAGGCATGCAACCCTAATCTTTCATAAGTTTTTAAAGAAACTTAATAACCATGTGTAAATATTATATCCCACTTACTTGTGATCCTTGTGAAGGCCATTTGAAATACCATTATGACTAGAGCCAAAGAACCCTCCCAGCACCTCACTCATATCTTCTTTATTCCATGCCCCATGGATTTCCTCACCATCCTACAAACAATGGTAATATAAATACTGTTTTTTTCAATACTCTAAAATCATTGTATACCTTCACAATCTAATCTCAATATATAACTCATTCTTTCAAATAAGTCATAAAACAAAGCTTACTGTTTGGTGGTAAAATCATAATCCTGTGATAATAAAAATCATATAAACATTACCTCCCTTTGACTGTAAACTGTAAATACTCTATCAATCCTATTAATAGAGATTCACCTTAATTTCTAATTTGAGGTTTAAAAAACTAACAATAACTTGAGTATTTAGATTTAATGTCAGAAAAGTTCATTTCATATCACCAGACTCATATATATGATAATATTTAATGGCATCTACTGTATACATGTACAATCCTGGGATATAGTTATCATCATCTAATTTAATTATTGGGAAATGTGTTCATATAACCTAAATTGACTGGTGTTCAATTTGATATATTTTGATATAATTTAATAATAACATCAGTTTTATAATAAATTCATGTACATTAGTATCATTTGAGGTTGTTTTTTTCTTTTTACAATAAAAAAATAATGGAACATTAATTTTATAATAAGTTAGCTCCCTTTGACCACTTTTTCGTTACAACAACTTTTTCTAATGAATTCTACAACAACAATGTCAACATTTTTTAAATTTAAAAACAACTATTATGTAACAAATTACATATTTTAAATGACATGTACATTCCTTTAGGCATATGAATAACTAAGTAGAAGACCAAGAATGTGTGAGAATATACTGTTAAATGCAGATTGTTTTCAAATTAAAGACAACGCCCCTAAGGCATTGTTCACAATTTAACTTGCAATTTTAAATAGCAATTATCAAGCAGTAAAAATGTCTCAGATAGTACATTAAAGCACATTTAAGTTCTGTAATTTTAGGGGGAATTGATCTTTGAGACATCTAATTAAGAAGAAAATGTGTGCTAATTCGCTCTACCAGACAAGATCTCTGTAGGACATCTGCTAGACTGCTTGAAATTGTACAGTTTGTTCCCTGCCTATCTTCTCTTGTCATTAATTTGGTTTCTTTAGATTAGACAATTTCATTTTAAAGTATTACAAGTTAAAGACTAATGTGCTAGCAGTGAATAATGTCTTCGTTTGTCAGCAGTATCAAGTCATGCTATAAACCATTTACTGTTGCAGCTAGTATGTGTATATTTTGACAGTTACAATGTCAATGTCGGACAATTTTACATTATAATTCTTGTCTAAAAAAGAGTAAATAACCAAACTATTAGTATAAATCTACTTTTACACAGGGTGAGAAAAATGTGCAGCCTAACTGGTACTCAAACTGGGCTTTACCAATTGAGCTATCTGGCTGTTTACACATCTTCTACCCGAAATAGTGAACACTTCTGAACCTTGACTAGCACTAAGAGTAAATTACAATTATAACAATAGGTTTAAATCTAGCATAAAATTACTATCAGAATTCCGGAAGCTCAGTTTAGACATAATTAAGTCTACAGGTATGTTTTTCCATGATGGTAAAGATGAAGTAAATAAATAAGAAACAACATCTTGCCAATATGTATGACACTTGTCAGATATACATTTTTTATAAACTACGGTAAGTAACCAGATATTCAACATATTTATTTGTTACAGCTCACGTAATACCTTGTTGTCATGACTTAAACTCTATAATCAGTCTACAAGAAATATTAACAAATCCTTACGGTTATCATAAAATTGTAAATAAGAAGGCGTTATTGCCTACTTTCTGAATTAATCAGCGTATAAAACATTCAGCCTTATTGTACCAATGTGAATATTGTCATTAGAAATAATGGTATTGATATTTGCCAGCATTGTCTAATAATAACATGAGAAACATTGTGACTGAACTATTGATATTCTTATATAAGATTTATATATAATAAATAATACCTTGACGTAATAAACAGATTACCTGGCAAATACGGAGGTTGTTTTGCGGAGTTTCTGCCAATGATAAAAGTGCTTGCTTCATACGTACTCGGTTTCTGAAAATAATACAAAGCTGAATGTTAATAACAAGTACATATTATACATTATGTATCATAATCCCAGGTAAATCACGACACTCTTTTTGTACTTTATAAATGATTTCAAGTGCTGTAAACCATGTCTTTCAATTTAAAATAAAGTGTACTTTTCTATTACATAATGTTAGTTTTATCACAGTATTTTAGTTTTAGAACTATATATGTGTATACCTCATATAGTTTCACATATATACATATATATATACTGATTTTCTGCAGAGTAAGTGATTCTGTAGTTACCAAAAATCTGCACATCAACTGATTTTTCCATTACTTAATTTTTCTTCAAAATACTATGCATTAATATTTCTATCTGCTATTTTTGTAGACATTATCATGAAACATAAGCTCTCAGGCTGACTGAACTGGTTACGAATCATTTATAGAACTATTATTGTTGACTGTCTACGTGACAATCTCCACAGATGTAACTGTGAGTTTTTTTATACTAAAGTCGAGACAATTAACTTGCCTGTAACAAAATCTACAGACACATAGAAACAAAATGAAAAGGTTTCAGATTATTATTACTGGGAATAAAAAAAAACAACATACAGTATGACAAACAGTTAGGAAAACCAGTTTTCTTGAAGTACATGAAAACCAACCACTGCTATGTGACATGATTATAAAAATAAACAACCAACACAATAACATTGTGGTACAAATAGAACAAAATGAGCCACCGCAATTTGGCACATACTTAAAGTTGTATAGGAGTCAATCAGCTAGAATATATATATATATCAAAATTTCTTTCAAATATAGTGAGGCTTTTTTTTTACAGAGAAAGCAACACCACTTATAACCATGTATTTTCTGTCAACTTTGTTTCTAAGTATATTTGTTTTATTTGTCATAAATTCAAAATATATATTCAAAAGGCATTAAATTCATCTATTAAATCTACAATTTATAACTGTTTTAAATGCTTATGAACAGTTTCTATTGTGTGACTTCACCACATATTTATACAATTTCCTTTTGGGAGACATATTACGCCCAGGTTATCACGTTTTTGACAGAAAAAAACAACAATTATATAACAAAGGTAGGATAAAAACAGACCATATTTAAATGGATGCTGAAGCTATTAATTAACATTACAGACAAAAATACAAAGCTTTAAATAATTTTGTTTTTTACTATTGCATTATAATAAATAGGCCAAGATTTTTCATTTCAATGACCTTCTAAACATATGAGCTGTTACTTCATATAACAGCTTTTTAATGCAATTTGACGAGTTAAATTTTTTAAGCAGTCATACGATTTCAAAGGATCACTACTATAGTTAAACTAAAATGTAGTCAAAATATGTTGACGTGCCAAAGCTTGATTCTGAGATATTTTCGTTCTGGGGCAGAATCTCGCTTTTAGAGGCGAGATATTGCCCAGACACGAAAATAGAACAATATCTCGTCGCGCAGTACAATTAGTTGGACTAACTAAAATGGTACTATGTAGTATCATAATTCATATAACTATCATATGGTGAAAAACAATCTGGCAATTTTTCAACATGAATTGCACAAGAAATTTAAATACTGTAACATTCTAGAAATGATTATTTTGTGATGACATAGCATGAAATTCTATATTTAGAAATTATGGGGATTCTAGAACCAGATACACATAAACCTGTTATTTTGTACATGTTACTGGTATTCTGTTATACTCTAAATATAAAACTGAAATCATACTACGTTTGTAGTAACTGGATACTTAATCCTAATCTTAAAATTACACTTGAGAAATTAACATAATAAAACCATATTATAATTTATCCCATAAGAGCCCCATTAAGGAAGGAAATAAAATCGGGCAATCTTGTGTCATACGCATGTTATATCTCTAACACACGTTTGTAAAAAGTAAACACTGCAAAACAAAATATCAAGTGAATCTTTGCCAATAATAAAACATGGCTTAGGGCTGACGTTAAACTTTTCACAAGAAGTTATTATTTATCTTGACAGTTACCATTGTATAATCCTACATAAATCTCCCTTTAAATAGGTCACTTTAAAATAATGAACAAAAGCAATTATCTATTGTGTTAAATGTTATGCAACTTTTGTTGCAACCTGCGAAATCAAATGTGACACTTGGTGGATTCAAAACAATATAGAATAGAATGGGGTGTTAAACTGTAATGTTGGTTTATGAATACAAAGACTGTTGAACACAATACCTAAACCTTTGTACAAGACATTTAGTTGGTGTAGTCTGCCCCAAAGAGGAATCCAGGGGCCAACTGTTTGATCCTTGAGGAATCCAGGGGATCCTAGATGCCGACTGTTCTATCCTAGAGGAATCCAGGGGTCGACAGTTCTATCCTAGAGGAATCCAGGGGTCAAATGTTCTATCCTAGAGGAATCCAGAGGTCAGCTGTTCCATCCAAGAGGAATCCAGGGGTAGACTGTTCCATCCTAGAGGAATCCAGGGGTTGATTGTTCTATCCTAGAGGAATCCAGGGGTTGACTGTTCTATCCTAGAGGAATCCAGGGGTAGACTGTTCTATCCTAGAGGAATCCAGGGGTCGACTGTTCTATCCTAGAGGAATCCAGAGGTCAGCTGTTCCATCCAAGAGGAATCAGGGGTAGACTGTTCCATCCTAGAGGAATCCAGGGGTTGATTGTTCTATCCTAGAGGAAATCCAGGGGTTGACTGTTCTATCCTAGAGGAATCCAGGGGTCGACTGTTCCATCCTAGAGGAATCCAGGGGTCGACTGTTCCATCCTAGAGGAATCCAGGGTGTTGACTGTTCCATCCTAGAGGAATCCAGGGGTTGACTGTTCTATCCTAGAGGAATCCAGGGGTTGACTGTTCTATCCTAGAGGAATCCAGGGGTTGACTGTTCTATCCTAGAGGAATCCAGAGGTTGACTGTTCTATCCTAGAGGAATCCAGGGGTAGACTGTTCTATCCTAGAGGAATCAACTGTCGACTGTTCTCACTAAAGGGGTCGACTGTTAGATCCTCTTGTCTATGTGATATTTGATCTCAGACATGGAGTCTAATGGTCATTGTTTATCATGTTTAGTTGTCCATCACTTATGGAGAAATTGTTAATTACTGGTTTGTTATCCAGGAAAGTCAATTAGAGGGATGGACTGCCAAGATATGACCAAAAGGTGTATAAAAATTGGCGTAAAAAAAGTTATGTTGGCATCTTTCAGAAAATTAAAAAGTTAAGACTACAGTATGGTAGTTTTCAGAAAATAATAGCTCCACAATCCTTTAACCAAACAAATACATGTAGTACCTGCACTGTCAAACTGCGCTCATCTAACCCATCAAAATCTTTTCATGTCACAACAAGATTTGGTGTACAAGACACCTACATGTAACCCAACAAACTGTCAGAGCCTCAATTGCTATAGGAAATTACTATAATTCTTAATATTTTATATTATACAAAATCAGTAGGGATCAAGTGAGGGATAAAGGAGTCTAGTCAACATCTAACTTAAAATTCTGTAAGCAACTGACACCCCTCTTTATATTTTGTATTTATGGATAAATTACACATATAATACTAGCCAAAATTTCAATAACCATTTCAGATTAAAATGCCATTGCCTTATCTTTGCAAAATATTTAAAATTAGCCACTGCGGCAGTCATTAAAAATTTAAAAACACAAGCTTATTTGCCTTAGCCGATACACAGCCTGGCAAGTTTCTAATTAGACCAGACTGTAACGTTCGCTGTTTGGATCTCTAAAATATTTTTGGTTCTAACTTCAAAGGAGGGCAAGTCCATTACAGAAGTCTTCTGCACGTTAAATTTGACATTAGCTGATTAAACCATATTTGGATATTTTCCATGTACTTTAGTTGCCGTCTTGTCTAGTTATTTTAAGAAGTTTGAACTTCTGCCCAAAATATTTACACAAAAAGTCATTCAAGTAGGTATTGGTAAGTAGGCGGAACTTTGTTCTCTAAACAAAATAGTAAGTCGAGTTCATACCACTAATAGATAACAATCTGAAATATTGTTTTTGTGCGTTCATGACTATCCAAAAATATGTGCCTACGTCTATGGAACAGCACAAATGGAAGAGCCTACATAATCATTCTGACTACTATCATATTAATGATAATATGATTTCTTCAACAATTTAGTCACATATGACTTGAGAAGAATTAAAGAGAGAGAGAAAAAAAACACTAGCAAAACCACAAATTTTACCACAGATTATGACTTGCTGCCAAATTTCAATGATAATCAATGGGGGAAGAAATAAACTGGCACAGTCAATGTAATAAAATAATCATGATTCATAGAACTGGGATCTTATCCTCATCAGAACAGTTTTATTGATTGCCTGCTATAGAGGGATACAAGATTGGCAATAACAACAACAAATAAAACAGCTGCTCTCATACAATAACAAGCTATTTTGCAGAACTTTATATTACACAAGATACTTATTGACTGCTAAAATCAGAAATATCATCCTGAAAGAATCCTGGGAAAAATCTCACATCCAGTCACAAGCAAAACATTATATCAACACTATATTCTATATAGCTGTGAAGTCATATAATTTCTGTTAAACTAGAAATTACAAGCTGTGTTATTAAAATACACATAGGTCTATAAGAGATTGGAATTACTGATCTATAAACCAACAGATATATCAAATAAATGATATGCCCCTTGTGTAGGAGGGGTTGCTTTTATGGGTTACGGCATTAGAATTGCAGCCACTGTTTAACCTTGCATTATTGTAAGAGGCGATTTAATGAGTTCAAATTACTGGAGTCTATGCATCTCTTAGCTCCAGCAGGTGAGGTGATTTTGATCCCTGGTGTTGCTTTAAGTTTGTAACACCCTAGGTTAGCCAAAACCATCTTTCCTTTTTCAGCGCCATATGACCTAAATTGTGTTGGTATGCATTTTCACTTATATATCTTCCGGTCTCACAGGTTCTAAATCTTATAAAGCATCA